CAGCCCGCAGTGAGTTTATATGCGCTGAGCACACGCCAGCCCGCAGTGAGTTTATATGCGCTGAGCACACACCAGCCCGAAGTGAGTTTATATGCACTGAGCACACGCCAGCCCGCAGTGAGTTTATATGCGCTGAGGACACGCCAGCCCGCAGTGAGTTTATATGCGCTGAGCACACGCCACTCTGCAGTGAGTTTATATGCGCTGAGCACACGCCAGCCCGCAGTGAGTTTATATGCGCTGAGCACACACCAGCCCACAGTGAGTTTATATGTGTAACCTTGGCCTGAGGTTACAATTACATTCACAGGAGCATAAACTCCCCAGCCCCCAGCCAGGCACCAGTTCCAACCATGACAAGACGTTGAGATCAAAACTGCAACTAAGTCAAAACATTCTCTCGAAGCAAAAGGAAAAACCCGCATCATAACAGAGCGAGCCAACGAAAGGATACGCATGCGTGTGTGTCTGTGAGTGTGTACGAATGACGTATGCATACATGTCATGAAGTAGAGTCACATTCATAGCTACAATCAAGAGTGGAAATATTACTACGCCAAACGGAACATGTGCAACATGTTACACCTCCCCCCTCGTTACAGAGGGAACGATAGTGACCGAAAGTTACAAAGCTTAGAGCATATCCGTGATAGCTTTCTACATGAGAAAATTAAATACTGGAAAGTGAAATTTAATAGTGTGGCGCAAGTATGGTACAAGTGTAGTTAATCGGTGTGAGGTATAATGGAAAGTTTAGAAACTACTAATGCTATGTAAGTGGACTGTGAAACAGCAAGTGAAATGCTCGACATTATTCATACTAACCTAACAACAGGTAGGACTGTGTGAAATATGTGTATTTCTGAACTAAGAATGTACAATTTCTCAATAATCACACTGTACAGTCATAGACACTCACTGAGCAAACCTTGCTGGCGGCTGAATGTTTGCACGGTTCCGCAGATCATAGTGGTGCACAACAGGCACAGGTGCATGATTCAGTGCTGCGGCTGGTGGCGGCACCGGCGCAGCAGCAATTACTGGTGCAGGTGGCACCTGCACTGGAGCCGGGATTGGTACTTGTTGCACATTATACTCAACATCAGGCGTATAGTCGGCAATAGAAGTCGGAGGCGAGTTCGGTACGAGCTCATTGGCACTTGCAGGCAGATCAGAGCCAGTCCAAGCCTTCAGACGGTCAACGTGAACAGTCTGGGTTGTGCCGGATTTGTCAGCTATCCGAAGTACTACATCGTCAACACGTTCTAGCACAGTGTACGGGCCTTTCCAAGGTCGATGGAACTTGGAAGTCGTACCTGGTTTGACGGCAGGAGAATGCAACCGAACCATGTCACCAACGTTGAGTTTCGGTTGTTTAGCGTGCTTGTCATAGTGGGCCTTCTGCCGTCGCTGGGCTGTTGCTCCAGCATCACGGGCATGCGAGAACGCTCGTTGTAGATTGCGTCGTAAGTTGATAACATACGTGTTCACATGGGAGCGCTCAGAGTCTGGTGACTGAAACATCACATCAACTGGCAGGTGGATTTCATGACCTAACATGAGCATCGCTGGCGTCTCCTTGGTCGAGGAGTGCACACTAGACCGGTAGGCAAGCAGACAACTTTGCAGATGACGGTCCCAATTGGTGTGGTGGTCGTCGACGTGAGCAGCCAGCATTTGCTCCAGTGTGCGATTCATCCTCTCGACTAAGCCGTCACTCTGGGGCCGGTATGCTGTTGTACGTGACTTTCTGATATCCAACAACTGACAGATCTGCTGGAATAACCTCGACTCAAATTGCGCACCACGGTCAGAGTGCAGCTGGTATGGAATACCATAACGACAGAAGAAGCCGTCAACAAGGACATGTGCTATTGTTTCAGCAGTAATATTCGGTACAGGAAACGCTTCTGGCCACTTAGTGAAATAGTCACAAATGACGACTAAATACTTGTTACCGCTAGGCGTAGTAGGCAGTGGGCCCATAATATCAATAGCAACTTTCTCTAGCGGGAATGATGGGCGGTCTTGGACAAGCGGGGCTTTGGCCTTTGGTAGCGGTGCTTTGCGGCTCTCACAAATATCACATGCTTGGCAAAAATCACTAACTGCAGACGACATGAAGGGCCAATAACACCGCTTGCGAAGCTTGTCTTGTGTTCGTTCAATACCTAAGTGGCTTCCAGAGACATCAGCATGCACAGACTGAAGCATGCGGGATTGCAGAGACTGTGGTACAACAAATTGTAGGTACGGTGTGTCGCTATTCTCGGGGTGGTAAACCCGGTACAACACTCCATTAACCAGTCTAAGACGCTTCCACTGGCTCCATAATCGTATCAATGCAATAGACGCACCGTGCATGGCAGAATCACTACGCAGGGGCCTGTCAAGTAATGCCTCCTGCCAGCCGATCATTGTACTCACATCTGCATCTTCTAATTGAGCTGTGCGCAACTCTTCAACAGTGAAAGACTCACACCAATTGGGTGGCGACACTTCAGCATTGACTGTTACAGGATTACTATCAGGACTAGCGCTAGACAGGTGATTGACAACAATATTCTGCTCACTTACTCTCTGCTCGGGCGATGGCGTCGGTGAGGTTGCGGTAGCCGGGCTGTGGCAGCGGAGTCTTGACAAGGCGTCTGCATTGACATGCTGCTTCCCGGGCCGATGTGTGACGACGTAGTCGAAGACGGCCAAACGCTCAATCCACCGGGCTAGAAGACCGTCCACTTCCCGGAACGAATGTAGCCAGATGAGTGCCTTGTGATCAGTTCGCAATGTGAACTGATTTCCAAGTAGGTAATGGCGGAAATGTGCAGTAAATGTGACAACAGCAAGCAGCTCCTTGCGTGTACTGCCCATGTTACGTTGGGATCTCGTTAATGCTTTGCTGGCATAGGCAATCACTGCTTCCTCACCGTGACTATTGACTTGCGAGAGAACAGCTCCCATGGCGAGATCTGACGCATCAGTGTCCAGGATGAAGCGCTTTGCAGGATCAGGATATGTCAGAACAGGTGCCTTGACTAGTCGGGACTTCAGTTCAGCAAATGCCTGTTCACACTCATCTGTCCAGTTGAAAGTGGCATTCTTCTGGGACAAACGGTTCAGGGGCTCTACAATTTCTGAGAAATGTGGCACAAAGCGGCGATAGTACGATGCGAAACCAACAAAGCTACGCACCTCTTTCAGTGATGTTGGGGATGACCAGTCTTGAACAGCCGTGAACTTGCTTGCATCCGGTGCCACACCTTGCTCTGAGAATAAGAATCCCAGGTACGTGACTGAGGACTGAAGCAGTGAGCACTTCTTGGGCTTGATCTTGAGGCCAGCTTGACGAAGACGACTGAATATTGTTTGCAGACGACTCATGTGTTCCTCAATCGTTGATGAGAACACGATAATGTCGTCCAAGTAGACCAGACAGATATTGGGTACTAGGTCACCAAGGACCCGGTTCATGAGGCGTTGAAAAGTTGCCGGTGCGTTACACAGGCCGAACGGCATACGGTTCCACTCGAATAATCCGAACGGTGTCACAAACGCCGACTTAGCTTTGGCAGCTTCATCTATCTCCACCTGCCAATAGCCAGCTGCGAGATCTAAGGTAGAGAAGTAGCGTGCACCAGCCATAGCGTCGATAGCATCATCCACACGAGGAAGGGGAAAGGCATCCTTCTCGGTGATACTGTTCAACTGCCGGTAGTCGATGCATAGCCGGATAGATGAGTCAGGCTTGCGTACGACAACTATCGGAGCAGCCCAAGGGCTTCTGGATGGAGATATAATCTCATGATCAAGCAGTTGATCAACGTGCTGCTTTACCTCGGCTCGTTGACTGAGAGGAATTCGGCGGGGTGGCTGTCTCTTAGGTTGATCAAATGTAGTCTGGATGTTGTGTGTTACTACATCAGTCTTCCCAAGGTCGAATTGTCCCTGCGAGATGACATCGGCATTGTCGTTGAGCACAGTAGCTATAGCAGACTGCGCTTGCGGATCGAGGTGACGTAAGTCAAATAGATCGTCTGGCTCGGAAGGTGAGCAGCTCTCTTCCTGTACTGCGTTACAGCTATGCTCGTCAACAGAGGCAGCATGCGTAGGCGAATCATTGAGATCATCGTCAATGTAAATATCAGAATCAAATTCAGCAATTTGATAATTCTTCGGGACAGTTGTGGAATGAGGAAGAAAATTTTGTAGGCGAATCCAAACACGGCCAGCAGAGTCAGGAGTAGCCACCACACGTGACATAGCAGTGCTAAACTTGGAAATAAACTTCTCTGAGGGTGAAACAAAACCAGCAGAGCTAGGTAAATGATTATCATCGGTACGCAGCTGCGCTTGAACAATGACTTGTGTGTACGCTGGTACAGTAACCGAATTAGCAAGATGAACACGGCAGACTACAGGATTAGCATTATGGGTGGGCTCTAGGGGTACATCGACACCGCCTGCATCGAGCATGTTGCGACCGAAATCAATTGTGCAGCCATGAGATTGCAAGAAGTCAATGCCGATTAGCACATCGGGCATAATGTCAGCAACAATGACTCTGTGGCGTACAGCAAGCTTGCCAGTTGCTAACAATACGACAGCTTCCCCGAGCACAGGAACAGAAGAATTATTTACCGCTTTAAGAACAGTATTAACGGGTGAGATAGATAAATGAACATTACGATGAGAGAGAGACTTAGCAAAGCTGGTGCTCAACAACGTTACGCAACTGCCGGTGTCCACAAGCATGTTGGCTGGCACAGCCTCGACCGTGCCTTGGATCTGCACCGTGCTGTCGGACTGTGTTGCAAGACACGACAGAGGCAGGACGATCGAGTTGTCTGGACACTCGGCTGGAGTAGTTGTGCAGGCCTTACAAGTTGTCTCAGTAGGTAAGCAGACAGCCTCATGACACACCGAACACGGTTGACTCTGCTTACCGGTACATGGGTCCATTGGGGAGGTTGCTGACGGCGGACCCTGGTAGTCAGCGACGCTCAGTTTCCCCGACCGCGTCCACGACCCCGGTGACCACCACGGTTAGCCGGTGTGTATCTCTGGTGCGGACAGTCAGGTGCGAAATGCATTGTGCTGTCGCACACATAGCACCGCTTGGTGTCACCATCTCCACTCCGATGCAGATTAGTTGGCCTCTCCAGCGTGAGCCTGGAGATCTTGTCCTCCAGGGCTGCCATCCTCGACAGCAGGGCGTGGAGTGGAGGGTCACTGGGTTGAGATTGCACCGCACATATAACTGGGCTAGCTGCCTGCTGCTGCTGGTCTGCCTCCAGGATGCACTGAAAATGCATAGCCCGTCGGAGTGCATCATCCAATGTTGGTGGGTCCGTGCCACGAACATGCAGGCGCAGGTCCCTGCTGTCAAGGCCGGCTACAAAGGTGTCGCGCGCCAGGGTATCCTGCACTGCTCCAGCCACCGTGGGGTACGCCCGTCTACTGAGCCTGCGGACGACTTCCGCAAAATCCGACAGGGACTCGCCACGAATTTGCCGGCGTGACTGCAGCTCTGCTCTGAACGTGGGGATGAAGTTTGCGTCGCCGAATCGCTGTTCAAACGCCTGCAGCAGCTGGTCGAATGGGCCTGTCCTCGTATGGGCTTCCAAACTTTGGAAGTAAGACAGTGCGTGGCCGGTGAGGTACAACCCAATGTACCTGCCTTGGTCTGCCGGTGTCCAGTTGTTTGCATTCGCGACGAGGCGAAAATGGCCAATCCATGATGTCCCGAGTCGGCGTTGCGCTCGCCAGAGAATTTCTCTGGCGTGGCCCATGCCCGCATCTGCTGTTGTTGACGTGCTGGTTGTTGCGCTGGGCCCGGTGGTGGTGGTGGAGGGGGCGGAGGAGCGCCACCTTGCTGAGCCATCTCTACACGATCAATCTTCCACAAATAATTTGGTACGCGTGCTCTCACAAGACGTGGAATTCGAATTCGCTGCCACCACGTGTAACCTTGGCCTGAGGTTACAATTACATTCACAGGAGCATAAACTCCCCAGCCCCCAGCCAGGCACCAGTTCCAACCATGACAAGACGTTGAGATCAAAACTGCAACTCTCAAGTCAAAACATTCTCTCGAAGCAAAAGGAAAAACCCGCATCATAACAGAGCGAGCCAACGAAAGGATACGCATGCGTGTGTGTCTGTGAGTGTGTACGAATGACGTATGCATACATGTCATGAAGTAGAGTCACATTCATAGCTACAATCAAGAGTGGAAATATTACTACGCCAAACGGAACATGTGCAACATGTTACATATGCGCTGAGCACACGCCAGCCCGCAGTGAGTTTATATGCGCTGAGCACACACCAGCCCACAGTGAGTTTATATGCGCTGAGCACACGCCAGCCCGCAGTGAGTTTATATGCGCTGAGCACACACCAGCCCGCAGTGAGTTTATATGCGCTGAGCACACGCCAGCCCGCAGTGAGTTTATATGCGCTGAGCACACGCCAGCCCGCAGTGAGTTTATATGCACTGAGCACACACTAGCCCGCAGTGAGTTTATATGCGCTGAGCACACGCCGGCCCGCAGTGAGTTTATATGAGGTGAGCACACACCAGCCCGCAGTGAGTTTATATGCGCTGAGCACACACCAGCCCGCAGTGAGTTTATAGGCGCTGAGCACACACCAGCCCGCAGTGAGTTTATATGCGCTGAGCACACGCCAGCCCGCAGTGAGTTTATATGCGCTGAGCACACACCAGCCTGCAGTGAGTTTATATGCGCTGAGCACACACCAGCCCGCAGTGAGTATTGTAACTCGTATACTCTCAGCACTCAAAGTACAATCATACTTGTTGTTACGTAAGTAGTTATCATTCGTTCATTGTCTCACAAGGAGAAGAAGAATACAAGGCAGTGCGAGTATGCGCACTGCTATCCATGCATTCCTACGGTGTAGTATTTATGTGTATACAAATTACGTGTCATAAAGTAGCCATGCTACACTATCCTTCTCCTACCAAAAATTCACGCCCTCGTGAATAGAGAAAAAAACAGAAACATAAAAAATAAAAACTCAGGACATAGCAAAATTAGTAAACCGAGCAGGCAGTCCAGGATTGCGAGCGAGATGGGCTCTGACGACAGCGGACAACAAGTAGGGTCATGGTCGAGGGCTTGCAGAGTAAGCACCGTGAGGCATCAGACGCAAACCGAATGTTCCTTCTGATCCAACTGCATTAGCCGAGAACAAACGCATGGTACGACTAGTGCCAGAAACCTTCGGGAGGGCGAACAAATTTTCCACTCACCGCATTGTACCTGGGCAAACTGACCACTGAGAGGTCGACATTCACAGCTTTGGCAGCAGCCAACTCAGTTGCGGAGAGACCAGCAAGTACAGAAGTGGCGACATCCACAGACGCAGTTGTGGCAGAGGAACTAGCTTGCTCTGGCTGATTTGCGGGAGTCTCGAGATGGGAGGGTTGCACCTCCGGCAACAAGGAACGCGACAGACCATCTGCATTCAAGTACTGCCGACCCGGTCGGTGAACAGTAGTGAAGGTGTACTCAGCGAGTTGCTCCACCCATCGAGCTTTTAGACCGCGTGGTTCCTTCACGGACATCAGTGCGGTGAGGGCAGTGTTATCTGTGCGGGCAATAAAATTCCGACCAAGCAAATAGTGCCGGAACTGATTCGCGAAATGGACAAGGGCAAGCGTTTCCCGGTCTGAGGCATCATAATTCCTCTCTGCCTTCGTCAAGACCCGGCTGCCGAACGCAATGGGGCGTTCCTCGCCATCTTGCATTTGGCTGAGGACAGCTCCAATGGCCACCTTCCTTGCGTCAGTGTCCAAAACAAAGCCACCAGACGAAACAGAAAAGTCGGGATACGCCAACACGGGGGCTGTTTTTTTTTTTTTTTTTAATTTTTTTTTTTTATTGGGAACACAGCCCTACAAAGAGACATGTGGAGACAAACACAAGACAAGACACAGGGGATGTAGGGACGACGTGCCGATGTACAGGGAGCAACTCGACCGACCAGGGGTCTCGGCGTTAGCGTTGCAACCTGGCATCGAAAAAAAGGGGGGGGGGTGCATGGTCAGGTAGCAAAAATAATAATTTGGTGCGAGAAAGGGGCGCTAGTATTGCACCAAATAATATAAATTAATACGTGTAATGACTAAACCAGAAGGGAAAATGAAGAAAGAGGACAGTAATCATAACAAGCAAGTAGTAGTAGAGAGGTAAATAAGCTGTGGTCAGTGACCGCTTCATAGACGTCAACGCCGCATCACAACTCTTAGTCCATGTAAAGCTGGCACCCTTGCCTGCTAATACATTCAGTGGAGCGGAGCGCTGAGCAAAACCACGGATGAAGCGGCGGTAAAACCCGGCGTACTCCAGAAACACCTGTACACCTCGTACAGACTGGGGTACGCCCCACTTCACAAGAGCCTCAACCCTGGTGGGATCCTGAGCCAAACCTTCAGCCGAAACTTCATGGCCAAGGAAGAGCACCTTCCGTTGGAAAAAAGAACATTTTTCCAAGTGTACCTTTAGTCCAGCAGCACGGACCCGGCCAAATACAGACTGCAGGATCTGGAGCTGTCCAGTGAAGGTAGAGCTGGCATTCAATACACTGTTGAAAAACACTTGACAGATTGGTTGGTTAGGCACACTACATAAACCATGAAGCACCGCTTCCATTACACGGTGGAACGTCGCTGGACCATTTCTACAGCCAGACATAACCAAGAAATCACACAAACCCAACGGTGTCGTAACGGCAGTCTTTGCCGTATCGTCCTCATGCTTAGGAACCTGCCAATATCCTGACGCTAAATCCAGGCAAGTGAACCATGAACAGCCAGAGAGTGAGTCCAATATGGCATCAACACGTGGGATAGGATACGCATCTGGCTCCGCAATGCTGTTCAACTTGCGGTAGTCGATACATAACCGGAGAGATCCGTCCTTCATAGGAACGAGAACTATGGGCGCCCAGGGTCTAATGGACTCGGTGAGTATACCACGGGACAACAGACCATCCAGCAAAGCTTGCAAAGCGCGCGTAGGCTGCTTAACTGGCTGTATATCACCAGTACTACTACTATGTGGCAAAAAATCACAAGGACCAAAATCACCCTCCTGCAAGAGAAACAAGTCATGATTCTCACGGAGAAGCACTGTAAGTCTGTTCTTTTCAGGTACTGCCAGATGATTCCGAGACTCAACATACGTACGGATTATCTCGGCACGTTCAGGGGATAGCACAAACGGTTGCATATCCGCAACAGATGAATCAGCAGGATCATCATCCTCTCCAATCAAGTTATCGGGTACAGGAGATAATTCTGCAATATCAACATCTGTAGCAATTTGTACTGGGTAGTCAGAGTGATTCTCCAACACAACTACCGCACCGGACCTGCCAGGTCCAACCGTAACCACACTGGGGGTCACAGACACATCTGGAAACTTTAACAAGAATGAGTCCAGTGGAACAGCAACACAATCCACAGTGACAGATGCCTCTTGCACCGACTTGCACGGGACCAGCACGACATGGCCGGCAGGCAGAGTTAATTTACTACAAACAGTGACACGGGAATAGTACGTGCCCGGGTCTTCTTCAGAATTACTATCATTACTCCAAGAGTCAGATAGCGGTTCAGCGTCCGCCGCAACAACCGGACTGGGCTCTGATGGACCAACACTAGTAGCTTTCACGCCTAGCAGGACTGACAGATCATTAAAAGTTAGTGTGCCTTGAGCAATGTTCAATAATGCTCCATGGTCAAACAAGAAATCAGATCCCAATATCATATCACGGCGGATATCAGGAGACACTACAAATGTATGCAAGAATGAACGCTCTCCAATGCAGCATACAATATCCACAGCACCCAGAACCTGGAGTCCCTCACCATTAGCCGCACACAAACGGGGAGCAGCTTGCAAGGGCACATCACCATACGTGGACAAAAATGTTTGCTCATGCAACATAGAAACACAGGAACCAGAGTCAATTAACGCCGTTACACACTTGCCTTGAACATGGAGATCTAGCGTAGGGACTGACGATACAGCCTCGATACGTACTGCATCTGATGGCTCCTCGTGAACGACTGGGAGTTGTCCCACACCACCAGTCGTACTCAGTTTCCCGAGCGCCAAGGGTTGTGTGGGCAATCTAGAGCAAAATGGCCAGGTTGTCCATAACCACAACAAATCGGTGGTTCCACCTGACCTCCACGACCATACGAATGTCCACGACCACTGCTACTACTATGAGGCTGATCAAATTCGAAACTTGCTCCTACAGGAACCTGTGTGCGTGGAGCAACAATTTCCAAACAGCTGAGTCTCTTTTCGAGGTCGGTCAACCTGCGATCAAGTTTCTCGAGCGCCTGAGCTAGTTGATCACGCACTCCGGTGTCATTAGACTGGTGCAACTCTGATGCACTGGCATGTTCGTCAGACGGTATCTTGAACGGACGAGGTCGAGGGGACCTGGTCTTCTTTTACAGGAACCTGTGTGCGTGGAGTAACAATTTCCAAACAGCTGAGTCTCTTTTCGAGGTCGGTCAACCTGCGATCAAGTTTCTCGAGCGCCTGAGCTAGTTGATCACGCACTCCGGTGTCATTAGACTGGTGCAACTCTGATGCACTGGCATGTTCGTCAGACGGTATCTTGAACGGACGAGGTCGAGGGGACCTGGTCTTCTTTCTGCCTCTGGACTTGCCCATCTCGATATCTCACTAGCAATGGCCCAAGCTACAAACATTAATTTTGTAGTTCAAAAAAACTTTTGAAA